TTATTTATTGCATGTGTCAGGCACATGGAGGAACACAACTTCAAAGCCAACGAAAAAAAAACGATCAAACTGGTGCTTAGGTAGCACCCGAGTACTTGAATAGTTAAAAATAAATTCTAACGACAGAATAAATTGCGGATAAAACGGATAATATGAATGAGGTAGGAAAAACGAGATAAGGTAGGAAAAACGAGATAAGAAAACCTCCCTGCCGACAAGGTCATAAAATGTCCTCATTTCAGATAACGCCGCAAGATGTTCTTGAATTGTGTTGTACTTTTAGGTACTGCAAATTTTTTTGACAATTTGGAATAATCCGTAACTGCCCTTGAAGTGAAAAACCTGGCTCTTGTACTAGGTGTAGGAATAGAAAGTTTTTTTTGGCACGCTTACCACGCGAGCGGTCCGGGGATCAAATCCTGGGTCGTGAGTCGCCCGGGCCAACCAAGCCTTCCATCCCTCCGGGGTCGGTTAATTGGTACCAGACTTGTCTGGGAGGATAAAAACACTGACTTGTACATCGGCTGGCCCCCGCAAGTCATTGTATAGGCCACATCGCATTCAAACGCCACTACGAATGTACAAATGGAAGTAGAATGCGTGCCGCATCCCAAAAAGGGATTGATCAACGGCAAATGCTTTATCCTTTATCCTTTATATTCTTTTGCTTTTGCAGTTTTTTTTCATGCGACAAGAACCCCTTTGAAAAAGTCTCAATGGCGGAAATGATTCAGGGCGAAACGAGTTCCTTTTCGTCTGGAAATATGGTCATAAGAGATTCAATTTATTTTCTGAAGTGAAACAGTACAAGTACGGAGTCCTTATCGAACTAATCGAATGCATAGAAATCTGTGGCGTTTTGTAATGAGTCTGAATTCATGTTTCCCTATCTGAGATAGTCCAACCAAAGGAACCTCAATTGTTTGGTTTTCCCCTTAAATCCGTAAAAAAAGACCAAAGATTGCCGGTGAAAATGCTATTCGATAGACAGCTGTTTTTTTCGCACTGGGAGACGCTGAACAAATAAACTCCCAGCGAATCGAAGATCACTGCAGTGCAAGCAACTGGCATTCCGCATGTGGGAAATCCGCACCGTTCTCAAAATCGTTCCTGATGTTCCCTGCTTCGAAACATGTATGTGATGATACTCAGTCAACACGCAACAGATCGATCCCTAGATTCAATGTCTTTTGAAGCTCTTGATGGAGTAGAACGATCTTTTCCACATGTTTACCAAATTTCTCCCCTCTTTTTGTTCGAAAACAGGTCCTATTAACTTTCATGTCGGTAGACATAACTATTGAATGATCCCTTTTCTATTCGGTTTGAACGCTTTTTTCTACTTGACACCTTACTAACGAGGTTTATAGTACCCAATGTTATCCACCGATGAGGTTCTATGCCTTGCTGAGTTTTGCTTGTTTTGTACCGAAAACTGGATCGTAAGATAGGCGATATTCTTTCTGAAAAGAAGCAATTCAATTGCAAATTCAAATGTCTTGTATTATAGCTGAACATCATAGAAGCACACGTGAGGCCTCAGAACATTCAAAGAGGTCGTATGCAACAAGCACCGAAGGTGTCTGCTGGCAAGTCCGAATGCAAATGTTTATACTCTCACTACTATCACCTGTATCACCTGTCGTCCCGTTGATCGTCGATTTGCTCGAGCGGGCGCCAGCAACGTCTCCATTCGTCCCTGTCGCGTGCTAGAGTGGTCCAGTGGATCCTCCTTTCGTTCAGAGCTTTCGTGAAGAAGTCTGACCATCGGGCCGGCGGTCGTCCAGGTGTTCGTTTGACGTCCCGAGGGATCCAGTCGGACTTCATTACTGTAAGGTCGGAAAATTTTGGAAGCACAAAGCTCGAAATATGAAGTTCCAAGTGTGACTACTGACCACTTCTACTACCAGCCGCACTCATTTCATCCAGTTGGGAACTACTCGCTATGCCGCGGCAGTCTGCTTCTTGGGAGCACCTACTTTCGAAAAAGTTTTTCTCTTATACTACGGAATGCGCCACTTCTCCGTTCCATTAAATTAATTATCAGTTAATTAATTACCTCTTCATCAAATGCACCACACTGAGAAAAAGAAGATTGAGCGATCAATTCCATGACACTTAACGGTACTACTTCAAAAAAGTGGTGTCTCGAGAACAAATGATTCAGCGCTGTCCCATTTTATGGGGTCGTTATAAGTACTTGTTCGAAGGCAGTTTCCAGGACAGTCTGGTTGTGAACAATGGGAGTGGAGGGGGGAATGGAGGTAGTGTGATCAGCACACCACTACTATAAGCGAACAAACAGAAGTAAACCCATCAAATAGACCTTCTTCAGTTGAATTTAGGACACGAGATACGACGAGATCACAAAGGATGGATTTCTGGATTAATTCTTGATCATTGGCACCAGATGAAAATTCAGCGATTTCACCTGCGTTCTTATAGTTAACGGCAATTTCACCATTGATAATGCCGTTTCGGATTACACACGAGCGCCTCTATGGTCACATGGCGAGTAATACTTGAAGGCATACCTAGCGATGAGTTCTAGGGGATCAATCCTTTTGGTGGGTAGGATAAAACTGGCCACTAAAGTCCCGGATATCCAGTTCTCCCTTCTCAAAAGTTCGCGAAAAGGGCGCCAGGGCTTTGAGAAGACCGCTTCCAATTCTCCCATTCACAAAATGTGAGTGCCTTGTCTGCGCCCTCTCACTCGTTGTGCCCCCTTCGCCTAGCCTCTCCTCTTCGTGCTCACTTTCTCATTGCCTCATTTTGAAAAATGAGGAAGGCCTTAATCTTTTGTGTTGCCTAAGGATTTTTTCCCTTTTTTGTGTTACTGCTAAGATCTTTTTTCCTTTTTTTTCACTGCCAATCACATCTCTGCCATCGGGCGGTCAAGTTGGCCCGATCATTACATCACCAGGATCAAGATGAGCATGCTCAAGAGTTCTTCCAGCTGTTCTAGGATCTCTCATCCCAGCAGGAAGCTCTCTGTCAGGACGCCCACAATTACATCTTTGATCAATGCTCTTATGCTCTGGCTCGCCCGACATTTACTCGGGGCTTTATTTCACTTCTTTCTTTCCGAGTGTTCGGTAGGCTGAATTTTGGACAGATGATATACTTATTATAGCAAAATGTTTTCTTTTCCACTTATTGTATTTACCCAATGGGCGGAAAAGTGGTGTGGCGGGTGAGACTCCACGACCAGGATTCGATTCCCAGGACGCTGACACGCGCGCGATCTGGGATCGAATCATGGTCATGCTTTCGCCAAAACCAAGCCTTCCATCCCTCCGGGGTCGGTTAATTGGTACCAGACTTGTCTGGGAGGATAAAAACACTGACTTGAACATCGGCTGGCCCCCGCAAGTCATTGTATAGGCCACATCGCATTCAAATGCCACTACGAATGTACAAATGGAAGTAGAATGCGTGCCGCATCCCAAAAAGGGATTGATCAACGGCAAATGCTTTATCCATTTATCCTTTTTCATTTGAGTATCAAAAACCATACATTAAAGGAATCTTGCGCGGAAAATTCTTGCACTCTTTCCTAACATGAATATGTCAGTTGTGATCACTGGAAATAGCACACAAAGTTTCACGCATGAAGATTCGGTTTCTGAAGAGAAACAAACGTACAAAAACTACACGTTATGGACCATCGAAGGACCAGGAGGCAGAGCCAGGCGAGGCATGGAAAGAAGACGGCGTTTGGCCGGCTACGTACCAGGCGACGCAATGAGAGAATCGGGTTAAAGCGCGCGATTTCGGAGAGTGGAGACAAATCGATCGATGGAATAGGATGGAGTAGAAGTGTAAGATGTGAATGCAACGAAGCAGAAGGCCAGAAAGAGCTTCTAGTGAATGCACTCCAAGAACCAAGTTTGAGCATCCCCGTCGCCAGCATTCGTGAAAGACGTCCGTGGGCAATTCGAACGCGTAGCAGCCTTTTCGAGTTTTCGAATTTCTAATCAAAACGAAAGCAATACTTCAGTTCTTTTCACTATTATCGTGGATAATGAGTCTCAAGCCAGTGATTTATGGCTGAAATAGAATCATGATTTTTCCGCGCAAGATTCCTTTAATGCATGAAGGGTAAGCTCTTTAACAGCTACCATTTACCTGCGATTGAGAAGCAACTTGCTCAGAGCTCTTTTCCCAAAAAATGGGCCTCTGACTGAATAATGATTATCGTGACGTACAACTGCGAACGATGGTGCTGGACCCGCCACATCTCTGCATCACACAGTCGGTTGTGAAAAGGACCAGAGGGTGGGCGGAGCAGACTTGCGAAAATAGATGATAAACGAAGGAGTGCGGTTTACGCACCAACAGCAACACCCTCAGAGGTTATTGCGTTCGATTTCACACTCTTACAATGTATGGGTTTTTGCTAGACTTTGCATTGACTGTATGGGTGGCCTGTACGGTAGGCTTGTTATTGCATACATTACCTTTTTGCTGCAAAAGAAGACACAAGAACAGGTAATCCATACTCATTTCGGCCGGGGTTAGGACCTTTCTTCGAGGGCGCTAGGTTATGAAAGACCTTACGAATATTCGCAATATGTTTCACAATCCTTTCTCACTACGAAAGACCTTGACTTTTTCTCTACTAGTAGGAAAACATTAATCGTTGACACACATTGACGAATGTCAAGGTCACTAACTGCCCGAATGAAGGGTGCGGCAATTTCAGTCAATTTCGGAAGTTATTTAATTTCAGGTTGAGATACGGAAGCATGACTGGAAACCAGACACTGTCTATCTTTATCAGTTCCCACGAACAAAGACAATTCCAAACTTATCGCCGTTCTGCTTGAAAGTGGAAACCTTCCTGAAGGCCAACAAAATACCCTATGAGGGGTGATGGGCAATGTCATATTAATTTCGCTGCGTGGAACTAATCTAAGCCATGCATTCAAACATTGAATGATAGAATTTGTCAGAGATTGATTTTTTTGATAGATTTGTCCACTTATGATGGGACGATCGCAATACGGCTTGTTACCGTTCATCGAACTGAACGGAGAACACATTGCCGACTCGCAGATCATTATCAATCGCCTGAAGAACCACTTCAAAGTAAAGGTAAGAGGAAGAAGAAATGGCAGGCATCATCTCGTATAACTTCGTATAATGTATGCTATTGATTTCTCCATGCCATTTCAGAGCAATTGGGGCATGTATGCTTTAGTAGGCTAGATCTTCTGTGTAAACTAGAAGCACTGGATTTTGCTTAGTAGAAATTATATTGAGCAGTTAGCATTTGGCACTATTGCCAATGAAACAGGAATGTAGCAACCATATACCCTACCCCCCCACTACCAAAGAAATACAATCCCCCCCCCTAAAATAAATGCGGACAAGACAATGGGTCAAACTACACTGGTGAGCAAAACTTAAGGACGAGACAGATGAAGTATCGTAACCTTCTGGTAGCTTTGTGGACCGTTTAACGGTTCCTGTTGAACTGCTTTCTTTAGTGCCCTGTGGAGGCTCTTTGTATGTTTGGTTAGGTTCCATAGAGTCATGTTACGCGCCAGTAACACGTGTTGAAATAGTACGGTCGTCCCTAAGTTTTGCACGCCAGTGTACAATATGTTCCATGTCCACTTTAATGGGCCTCACACTCGGCCTCTATTCGGGACCATAACGGCACTGAAATGGAGTTTTGAGTGTTTTCGGAGGTAGTCTTATCAGGGAGTCGACTGAAGGCCAAATAGCTTTTCGAGCGTGATGGGTGTGGCGGAGAAAGTGGCGAGAGTTCGTCCTTGCGGGTTTTGTATCGACAATTTCTGTACCGGCAATTCGAGAAGTAGACATGCATCGGCACAATGAGAAGTTCTAGTCGTTTATCAGTTAGCATTATTTACTCCTCTACCCCTCCTCCCCCTCGACGCCAGAATATGATGCAAGTGGGCGGCGGCGAATAGTATCTTCATTGTCAAGTTTATTCAAATATTCAAAGAGAAACAACGCCATGATGGCCAGGAATGGTGATGAGTGTGTCAAGGTGGAACGGGAGGAACTTGTATCCGGTAGATGTAAGGAGGCTGATGTGCGAACTGTGTGACGTAATCGGGTTCGGGTTGAGTTATCCCCATAAATGAGAGCGGCAAAAAATGTTATGGTTGGAACAACGAGGCCGGCGTAACCAGCCACCCCCTAACTCGCGAGTAGTTTGTATTTCGATAACAGCTACGCCATTTAGCGCACTATCACTATGAACTTAACTTAGGAGATTTGATATAGATAACCTTCCAATATTGGAGAGCTTTTCCAAATAACTGATAAAGCAGTAATTCAAGCACTCGCATCGCAAGAGATGAGGCCATCGCTAGGACCATAGAGAGAATGGTTGAAAATCATACTGCCTTGTAAGTTATCTCTCCTCCTTCATATTTTCTTTTTTTTTTTTTTTGATTATTCCATCGTCGTTTCCATATAAGATTAAATTATATATCACGCAGAAAGATAGCAGTTCATCATTTAATCAATATTAATGTTACTAATATAGTGATCTTTGTCCAAAAGGTAATCATTATTTCAGCGTGATGTATCGGTTCAAGGCTCTCGAAGACCCGAACAATGAGTTCATAAGAATGCTGCTTGGAGAAATGGGCTTGCCCTGCTGCGCTTGACCAGAGTTAATACCACTCTGCTGCTCTTTCTACCAATTGTAATCACACCTGCCGCATGGCTGCTGAGACCAAAGGTGCAAACCTCAATCTCTCTCGTTATTTCTTTCGTTTTCTCAAAATTGCAAGGACTCAAAATCATCAGAGGAAAATGTAAAATGCGCAAGAAATAAATTACAGCCTTCGAATGTAAATAAAACAATTCAGGCCAGCAAACGCATTAATGCCGTCATCGGTAAGTTTCCTGTTGAGGAGTTCGAGAAATTCCTACACAAGGACTTTGACGCATATCGAGATCTGTTGGATGACAAGAAGTTCTTCTTTGGCGACGAAATTAGCACGGTCAGCCTTTCTGCTCTCGTATTTTCCCAAACATTTCTGAAGCGACCATGATGACAAATAATAAAATGGTGATATCGCAAACACAGTAACAATCAGTGGTGTTATCAGCAGATTCGTAAGTACCAAAAGGCCACCCAAGACCGGGAAACAACACCTTTGGACGCGCACCCACAAGAGCAAGCGACTGGGTAGTTTGAGTGCAGATCAGAAATTTAAACTGCGTGGTTTTGTTCAGGAAAAGGCATTTGGACTCATATTGCGGCATAATCCTCCTGATTCAGGAACCGGTGGCGCATTATTATCAGTACCCTGTCGGCAAGTTCATGGGTCAAAGCAGGAATTCACGATAAGAACGAAGGTCAAAGAAGTGGAAAATTGCATAGTTGGGAGACAGGCGGATCTGCTGAGGGTGCTGACAGACGCGCCATGGCTCACTCTTGGCGCGGTTGGCGGGGTACGCCCACCGACTATCTAATCACTCGCCGCAGGTCTATACGTGGCGAGTGATTAGATAGCAGAGAGAGCGTAGTGTTGAAGAGGGCACAGCGATGAGAGTCGCATCAATGCGCAAATCAACGGGCAAGGAAGGGGTCCCATTTCTCGGGTTTCGGGCCGTTTCAAATGGTTTCTTCTTCATCCCTGCTCCACTGACCACCTCTACCCTTATTTCCAAAACTATGAAGCTAGCGGCCACTTTCCAGAACGAAAGAAGTGAGTCCGGGTCTATATCCAGCGTATTCTCTTGCAGGCAGGTAGATAGAAAAAAATCGGTATAGTAGGTGGTTCAACCCGGTTGTTCACACGAACGTAATTATATAACACCGCAATATAATCCATGGGTATTGCGTGGGGTTGAAGGGGGTAGACAGGGTATCCACAAATACGCTGAGTAGCCTTCAAATCAAAATTACGATGATGATTGATTCTGTTAACTTTCAGGCTGACTGTACAGTATTCTCACATTTGGCTACGATTCTGTATATTCCTCCAAACAACTATGCCAAGCAGCTGCTACGAGAAGAGTACCCAGAACTCGTTACTTACTGCGACCACATACGGGACTCGGTCTTCGGGAAGGAATTCGCCGAGGAATGAATGCGCCTTCCACTGTTCTTGATTGTAAGGCAAGGAGCGGTCAATAGGGTTGATCGATGGAAGAAAGTCACTGGTTGTTTAGTTAACACATGTTTGATCGAAAAAAATATTGTCAAAAGAAGAATAAAAGTGTCAGATGAAAAGATGTGAAAGAGCTCATGGGGAATTCGGCAGTGACTTTCAAAATGCCTAGAAGAAAACATCCATGAAAAGTGCACTTTTCCATTTACGGCTCAAAAGCGCTATATACGACCACTAGACATGGAACCTAGGCTGGCCATAAATTACGGTAACAAAAGCCGCTGCAGGCATATTTGAGACTAAACCCGAGGTAATTGAGACTGTCGGTTATAGTGGAGCATCAGAAAGCCTCCCAAGATGAAGCCCACAGGTCCAGAAAGGCCCGAATCCAAAGTGCCTGTCAGGGATGGCCTCGCCGTTTACCACTTACACGCCGCGGTGAATGGGTTGCGCTCACTAATTCCCTGCTTTCTCAAATGTAAACGTCGGCCAATTTGAGAATTGACGTTGTTCTTTGCTCTCAAATTTTTTATTGATACAATAGTATTTTCAGATTGACTTTTTTAGCTATAATAGTTCTCTTTATCTTGTTACCATAATTTGTGGCCACCCTGTATGGGAACTTTCGCGCTAAGAATTGTGTTTTCATAAAGAAACAACCCTTCGAGAACAACCCTTTGTGAGCCAAATTGGACTAACGGGCGAAGCAAAAGGGAGGTGCATTGAAAGAGATACGGAGTGGTGCGGCCACGTAGTAAGAGACACGTTCAAAAGGTTTTTGATCAAAATAAATTCATTTTCAATCTCCAGACCAACGCCCACAAGGAGATAATCTGAAATATCCGGTTACTTGAAGTGCTGGAGTTCTGACGAAGATTTTGGTGAAGGTCTTTTCACAATTATGTAGGGGTTTGAAGCACTTCTCCTCAAAGAAATTATCCAAGGCTAGAAAAGTAGCAGTCGGCAGGCCAGGGGTATCTTGAGTAAGATGGACGCAGGAACGTTCTGTGGCCCAACTATTTCAAATGTACGAAGGTGATTGTGCTACGTGCGGCCGAGTAGCTTCGTGAGGAAGCGTGTGCGGCACTCACTTGTGGACTTTGTGAACATTTTAGCTTCCCTTTATACCAGGAAGTCACAGGCGTCATTTTCGCCGAATTCACAAGAAATCCTCAGCAATTTATGTAGATTTGTTAGCAAATTTCTGTCAGTGTTCCTACCATCTTCAAACTCTCGGCAGTCCTAGAAAGGATAAAGGATAAAGCATTTGCCGTTGATCAATCCCTTTTTGGGATGCGGCACGCATTCTACTTCCATTTGTACATTCGTAGTGGCGTTTGAATGCGATGTGGCCTATACAATGACTTGCGGGCCGATGTACAACAAGTCAGTGTTTTTATCCTCCCAGACAAGTCTGGTACCAATTAACCGACCCCGGAGGGATGGAAGGCTTGGTTGGCCCGGGCGACTCACGACCCAGGATTTGATCCCGGACCGCTCGCGTGGTAAGCGTGCCACTTGTCACTACACCACTTCCGCCCTCCTATAAAGCCAAAGATATAAATGTAGAATCACTGTTAGATCAACTGTCCCTACCATTCAAACTCTCGGCAGTCCTAGAAAAGCTATGTGAATCATAACTGTACATCACTTTGTTGTGGAAGGCAGAATTTACGATGAAAAGTTAGCTCATTGAAAATAAGGGTAGAGGTGGTCAGTGGAGCAGGGATGAAGAAGAAACCATTAAACGGCCGAACCCGAGAAATGGGACCCTTCCTTGCCCGTTGATTTGCGCATTGATGCGACTCTCATCGCTGTGCCCTCTTCAACACTACGCTCTCTCTGCTATCTAATCACTCGCCACGTATAGACCTGCGGCGAGTGATTAGATAGTCGGTGGGCGTACCCCGCCAACCGCGCCAAGAGTGAGCCATGCTAGATCGCCGAGGTCAAATCTTTCGCTGCCAATTGCGCGTCGGTCAGCACCCTCAGGAGGTCCGCCTGTCTCCCAACTATGCAATTTTCCCTTCTTTGACCTTCGTTCTTATCGTGAATTCCTCCTTTGAGACCGAACGCACAACTGATAGCGCCACCTGCCGCCGTTCCTCTACAGCCTAATTCGAAGGTAAAGAAGATGTTTCATGCCCGATGTAATCGGGCATCCGAACGATTGTCTGATGTGTCCGAACCTGAGAATACTGAATATATTGTTTGAAGTTGTTTTGCCGTACAGATTGTTGCGATAATAGTCTTGTATCCAGTGGACGTTTCGAACAACTCGTTGTCTTCAGGACCTCTCCAGTTCCACTAGCGCCATGAATACACTACCAGGAAGGTCTTTCAGGGCGTGCCAAGCTTTTTGAAAACGGTCTTTTGCATGATATAGGGGCACATGCGGGAACCACAGAACCATGGTTAATTTTCCTGAACGGCCCTCTGAATACCAGAAAAGGGGTCCCTAGTTCGATTCCTCGTGGTGACAAATTTTTGCATTTCGAGTTGACGTTTCAAAATTCGCGCAAAATGGGATCCTACTCATGAATATGGCATTCACTGTTTATGCTAACTCCATTTTGCACGAATTTGGAATGTAC